ACAATGACAATCGCAATATCCATCCTGACCTTTTTGGAAACAGCTGCCAAGAGAAGAATCACAGCCATGCTGCATAAACTCTAGCTGCTGTCCTCACCCTTTCACCCTAATTGCCATTACCTGGACATGGGACGGATGATGACGGATGGGACGGACTGTTTTCTATCTCTGACATGCCAGTTCTATTGATATAACAGCCTGAGTTGGTTTAACAGAAATTATTCAGATAAGATTATTATCATCAAGACATTTTTTCTAAATAAATGAATACTTGTATTCAAGGAAGGATGCATTAAATTGATCAAAAGTCTGTTTCACATAAATGCTGTTCTTTTGAACTTTCTATTCATCAAGAAATCCTGGGGAGAAATATGGATCAAAATTCAGCTTTGCAATCACAGGAATAAGTTACACTAATATGGAAATACATAAAAATAGAAAACAATTAGTTTCAATTGTAATAATATTTCCAAATTGTATTTTAATTTCCCAATGTATTTTGAGCAATTAAATGCAGCTTTACTGAGTATAATCTCTCAAAAGACATTTTACAAATATTACCAACCCCAAACATTACGTTTAGGTTGTAGGTGTGACATGCCATACTCCATATAACACTATTCTAAGCTAGGGATGAACCAATATAAAAAATCTAACCAGAACAATTATTACATTAAAGACAAAATTATGGAAGCCCTTTTCTGCCACTGAATAAAAAATAAAAAAGGTCATTACAACTTTTTGACTTTTTTTCTGAATTGTGAGATATAAAGTCAGAATTGCAAGATATGAACTTGCAGTTCTGACTTTGCTCACAGAATTGCGTGATATAAACTCGCAGTTGTAAGTTATAAAGTCAGTATTGTGTTTAAATCTGCGAGTTTAAATCTCACAATTTTGGGGTTGCAATTGAGTTGCAATTCTGAGAAGTAAAAAAAAAATAAAAATCAGATTTGCAAGATGTAAACCCACAATTGCGAGAGAAAAAAGTCAGAATTGTGAGACAAAAAGGTCGCAATTACCTTTTTTTCTTTATTCAGTGGTAGAAACTGGCTTCCATACAAATAGCTGAGTTGTGCTGTGTTTTCCAAACACAAAACTTTTGAGATTAAGTTATTAGAAGTTAAGCATTAGAAGACAGAAAATGCCAGCTAAATGTCAAAATAAAAGGTAATGAAAATAATGTAATATCAACCAATATCATTGGCGCATCCCTAATTAAAACAGTGTTTTGTTCATTCATAAATTTTTTAATTAAGCTATTATGCATACAACATTTATGGCAACATCACATTTGCTAGCAGTACTTTTAGACATTAATGTGTCACATGGAAAACAAGACCATTTAAAATGATCTGATAAAAGAAATAAGGTGCAGAAAAATGGAGATCAGATCTTAGCTTAAAAATTTATATGAATGTACAAGTGTACATTTATATGAATGCATACATTAATAAAAATAACCTAAAACATTACTGATGTTAAAAATACTATAGTGATACCATGGCACTTTTATCATACACACCGTATGAAAGGCACTCTCAGGTCATTGCAGGACTGCAAACTCTCCCTGCAAGTCCCACCACTTGCTCGCCTTGGCCTGGAACTTCCGCACCTCGGCGGGGTCGAGAGTAGTCTGGGAAACCGGGCGGACATTTAGACGGGTCAATCTGCGGGAGAGGTCGTTATGATTCTCTGCTAAACAAAAACACAGTAACCAGTAAACTGGAACACTGGCCTATTAACAATAAAAACATGTAATTAATAGCATGCACTCTTGTTAGGTTGATAAATCAGTCTCACCCGTTTGACAGCTGATGCTTCTGTCTGTGATGCAGACACACCGTCCAACTGCACAGAGACCGCACTGCTTTCACTCTGGAGGACACGCTTCGGGTTAACGGGCATTTAAACGCAGATTCCGCCAACGGCCCAAAAACTAATCGAGCTAATTTCTTGGAATACATAATTGCATTTTACTGCGTCATGTGTATCTTAAATTATCACTGACTTCAGTCAGTAAATCCAATGCGACCGTGGCGTGTTTGCAGAACTTCTGACCGAGCAGAAACTCCGCATGGAATCAAACGTTCCTATCCTGTATAACAGTGTGACAAATATATTGCCTTTTTTCAACTTTGATTAACTTTTCAAACTATTAATAAGCTGAAAAGGGGAATACGTTTCAAATTAAATCAGAAATCTGCGACCACAACATACAGTGTGTGCTTGACTTCCAAACCACTTAACATTCCGTTCTCTATGCACTTCTCAAATAATTTTTTTAAGTGTGGCTCATACGAGTCTCCACGTTTTAAAGTCGAGCTCATTTAATAAATACAATTGTAAAATTATACTTACACTCACGTCATTTCAAACCTATAGGACTTTATTTCTGCTGTGAAGAATAATTCAGTTCATAAAACTAGTCTGAAAAATTAGTTCACAAATCAGACTGATAGGGGTTAACAACTCATACTGTACTATCAGCGAATAATTTAATGTGAAAGGCACCGCATAGTTACAATAAAATATAGTATAGTTATATAATGCAAGAGATGTCTTTATGGTGCTCTCTTGGTCATTGTGGAGTTTGACATCCATGTCCCCATTCACTTTCATTATATTGAAAATAGTGGATGGATATTTCTCATGTTTCATGGACCAAGACAGTATGTGATCAAAACTGTCATTGTTGTGTAAAGACAACTCTTAATGTGGTTTACAAAAAAAAAAAAAAGCTAAATTAATTATAAATATGCCCATAATTTATTTTAGGTTTTTCCATATGTCTTCACTCAGACATTTCAAGCAGCAAGCTTTAAAAACAAAATAAGAGACAGGCCATGTCAGACAGAAAGAATCATTCTTGTTTTATTGGACAATTTACATGAAAGGAGAATTTATTTCTTCTGGTGTTAGATTTTAAAATGTTACAGTTCCAAGGTTCTATTGACTACTTGAACGTTTAGTCTTGCAAAATACAAGGCAAAAAAAGAAACTATCATTCAAAAACTCCTGTTTTGAAGACAACACTTAAAAATACCATATATTTACAAAATGAGGGGA